GAACAACAGCAAGCAAAAGCAGCAGCAGCAGCAGGAGAAGAGGAAGAACAACAACATCATAATCATCCAGCGGGCAGAGCTATCATTAAATAGCTTAGGGGTTAGGCCAGCAACACTCAGGGGTTGAGCACCGCCAAGGGTAGCAACTAATTTCGATTTTATTTTGCCAAAGAGAGAGCGAGAGAGAGGGAGAGAGGAATACTAAGAGGTCCTCTTCCAAGCAGCCATTGCCCATGTGAACTACTCAGACCCTTTGTCTGAAACATCTCGTTGATGGAATGCTAAGAAGTTTGCCACAATTAATGGATGGCTAAGAATTGCCAATTGCCGTCTATGGACAGGGGAACTTCAGCTGAGCACTACCACTGAGCGTGGTAGAGGCTGCACAAGACTTGCCACTGCTTATAAAGTAAAGATTTGCCAATCGAAGTAGTTTAGAATTAACCAAAAAGGGGCTTATATAGTAAGGTTGGTACATAGGTCTAGTCGACAGCAGTCGAGATAGTCTAAGAACTTCGGGTCTAACTCAAAGATTTCTGCCTGCATTTTCCTTGAGGTGTCTCAAGGATTTTTGGTAGATTAAAGTAGAAACTTTTAAGTACATCAATTATGAAATGAAGGGCGATATAGAGAAAGAGAGAGGGGGAGAGAGAGAGATAGAGAGAGCTGTAGACAGAGATCGAGTGTGTATGTGTAGATACCCAACACCTCCTAGCAAAGTCTAACAGAAATCTCAGATAAAAACTTTATACTTCAGTACCTCAAATGGAACTTTTTCATGATATAAAGAATCTTCATTATCAAATTCAACATATTTGAGATACATCCATGCCTATTTCAACTACATTCAAATTAATATAAATGCAAGGGCTTCCAACGATTCACATCTATCTGCTCTACTTCCATAGCACTACCTTCTATACGTCGACTTTTAATTATGGTATTTCTTTAATGGATAGTATTATTGTTACTATTATTTATTATCATACACCACATTGGCAAATTATTATTTATATTACCCCAAACTTGCTTAGAAAAGTTCTTGTAGAATATTGATTAACTCATATTTCGTTTGATGCGAGAAAGTTTTGCGTTAGTTCCACAACAAAATGGAGGAGGAATCTATAAATGCATATATATGTATATATCTAAGGCTATATGTAATAGTTAGTTGCTTCATTTAATTGGCTCCATATTGAAAATGGAGGCAAAGCAACCACGAAGCAGGTCCTGAGACAGGAACAGGAACAGGGACAAGGACAGGGGCAGGGGCAGGACTATGGTTAGTGCCACGGGGTCTGCTGTCAACTTCAAAGCAGCCTTTCAAGTTGTATTTTGGGCAACACCTAGCAGGCAAGACAAGATGACTACCTGCCTGGCTATGACAGACAAATTGGCCATATCCCATATCTCAATGCAAACACACACACACACACACATAGAGAGAGAGAAAGAGAGAGAGAGAGAGGGGCGGGCGCACATGATTTTGCGGGCCGCCTTTGATTTTCTAAGCGAATTGTTTCAAGACAAGCCACAGGAGCAACGGTCGCTCGACCGGCGGCAGTGGCAGTGGCAGCGGCAGGAACAGGATCTGAGGCTGGATAACAGGATAAGGATTGAAAAGGCTTGACAGGACATGTGAGCCTCAATTAATTTGATTTGCGTTTCAAGGGCCAGTCGAGCAGCGGAAATGGAACTCCACTTCAGTTTATTTGTCAACTTGGCTGTGATAAATTTTTTGCGCTTGGTCTGCTCCTGCCGCTCCTGCTGCTGCTGCTGCTGCTGCTGCTGCTGCGACTGCGACGCAAGGGCGACGACCACTTGGCCATGGCTGAATGAGCACACAACGAGCCACTGCAGATGCCATTTGAAGATGGCCAACTATGCTTTGAACTATAAATGAAACTAATGCCGGACAGACAGACAGACAGACAGGCAGGCAGGCAGACAGGCAGAGGGAGTCGGCGAGACGACGAGCTGGAGTCGGATGAGCTGCTGCAGCACTTTGGGTCGTTAGGTCCTTGGCACTGTAGCTGGGCCGCTGCTTGACAACGTCTCAGGGCACCGCTTGAAGTGCTGCCAGGCAGGAGGAGGAGGAGGAGGAGGAGAGTGAGAGTGATGGGGGGATCAGTCTGTAGCCTACGTGGGGCGGGCGGCTTAATTGGCAAAGGCATTGCGCCAGCTACAACAATTAAACGCATTAGCCAACACCTCAGACACTGAACGAGAAGTGAGGCCAACCCTCGGTGCAGTTCATTTCAATAATGTTGTTGTTGTTGTTCGTATTTTAGGGTTGCGACAGCCGCAATATGGCCGACAGCATAAACACACACACACACACACGCACGCACACACATATGCGCTTGGGGCGTTTTAAAACGCGCGCGTTTTTTTCCGTTTGTTTGTTCATAATTTTGTGAAATTCTTTTCTAGCTTTTGCTGCTGGCCTGCGAGCTAAGTGCATTTCAATGTCGACTCAGGTTGGCAGGTCAAATGGGCATGCAAGCACAGTTCACAACACACACACACACACACACATATATGTATATATACATATACAATTATATAGATGTGGGCGGTGGGCGTTGCAGCAACGACTTACTGTTGTTTTGACACGCAGCCAGCGGGCACAAATTCAAGCATTCAGGCAGGAGTCGAGCGCGTGAGTGCGGTGGGCAGGCGGGAGGCGGCCAGCGGGGTGACCTCGGTGCCAGGTGCCGTCCGCTGACCGCAAAATGTGTTAAATTATAGATTTGAGCGTTTGCTGAGAGCGACAACAGCTGTTGGAGCACTGCCTCTCTCTCTCTCCTTACAGCTCTCTCTCTCCGTCTCTCTCTCCCTCTCCCTCTCTCTCTCTCTCTCTCTCTCTCTCTCTGTCTGTCTTGGGCGGGGAACACACGCAGCGCCTTGTGTCGGCACGCGGCGTTTGAACTAAGCGAAATTAATGGCCAACACAGGCTACTTAGCGGAGGAGCCAAAGCCCACGCACACAGAGACAACAACAACAGCAACAACAACAACAACGACGACAACGACGACGATGTTGTTGTTGTAGCCCTTATGGCATTCGCTGATGTCTGCGCCGTCTTGTTCGGCTCGCGCGATTTATGACTTGGCATGCAAAGAGGCAAAGCACAGCTAAAGGCGGTGGGGGTAGTCGGGGTAGGCGGGGCAGCCGGGCCAGCAGACATGACAAAACTGCATGGCGCCCGCCAGCGTCGCCATCATTGCGACGCTGCGCGCTGTTTTGCCCACCCGTTGCGATGCCGCCGCCGTCGCCGCTGCCTTTGCCTGATCAATAAAAAAGAAACTGCAAAATTTGCGCAGCAGTTGATGAAATTTACGCGATCGGCAGCGGCAAAGTTCAAAAGCAGCGGCCTTGGCGGCTAAACAAACTGACCACCAAGCAGCCGCCGAGCACCACCGTGCACCACCGTGCACCATCGGCCACCATCGAGTAGCCGCCAAAAGCCAAGCCGCCAATTTGTTTGGCGCTCACTGCGCCCACTGCGCCCCAGCAATGAAACGAAAGTTGTCGTCGTCGTCGTCATAGACGCCGTTCCCGTCTTTATGTGCGTCTTATCCGTGCGTGTGAGAAGTTTTAGATAAGACGCTGTTCGTCTCTCTGTCTCTCTGTCCCGCCGTCTGTGGCGCTGCTTGGCTGCGATACTTCAAAGTGGGCGCCGGGCAGCGCTTAAAGCATTCGCCAGCTACGCAAATTTTGCATTGATAAGCCAGCTGGGAGCAGGAGCTTGGAGGCAGTGGAGGCGAGTGTTAGCTGCCGCAGCAGAGCTTCCTCTACGCACACACACGCACACATGCACACACGCACACATGCATATATGCATGTCTCTATGTGTGATATAGTTAGATAATGATTCGCTTTGAAGTCGGCAGCGGCTGCCGCTGCAGCACGTGTTCGTCCAGCTGTCATCGAGCTGCGGAAATGAGAGACATTTCCAGTTGCAGCAATGCGAAACTAGCGGATCAACAACTTTGTGAATAGATATACCAGAGCCAACTCCGAAGTACTCCGAAAGTTTGATAATTACTCTACTAAACACACATCCGTATCGAAAACATTCAAATCATTTGAATAACAAGCTAAAATGCACACTCCGAATTACTACGAATAACTCCGAATTACTATGAATTATTTGTAATACATACTTTAATTACACTTTAAGCACAATGGGCATTACTGTCAAAAATTCTATATTTGCAATATTCCGAAAGACTACTCATCTTTCCGAATGACTCCTAAGGCCACATATACTCCATTAAACCTATATCAGCTACGTATTGCTAGCAGCAACTCAATATACATTAGTCCGAATCTAGTTGCTAGTAAAAATTCATGAATCACATTACTCCGAAAAAGTAGTCATCCGAATGGATTCTAAGACCACCTATACTACATCGAACGTATAACAAATACGCACAGTAAGCAGAACTTCATAATGTACATTAGTCCGAATTGAATCCGAAAGAGTAGTCACTACTCCGAAATACTTTTCACGCAAAAATATATTTCCTATTTAAATCACGCATAGCAAAGTGAAAAGTCATGATTCACACTACTCCGAAAGACTAGTTATCACTCCGAAGGACTCTTCGCACTACTACAACCTATATAAAGTACGTATAACTAGTAAAAATTCAAAATTTACATTACTCCGAAAGACTCCGAATTACTTTACTAGCATACCAACTACTTCGGAACACATTCCGAAATATCAGTACGCCTTTCAATTCAACACACACTTTAAGTTATGCAGCACTTTCAAAGTAAATCACTCCGAAACTTCTGCAACCTGTCAAGTTTTGTAACCATCGATGCCATTTGTTCAGTTTCGATGATAACTGATAAGAATGAACTGAAAATATATATCGTGTATTTTGTTTTGATCTGTTTTTTTTTTTTTTTTTCATCGAGATACGTTTTTTGTTGTCAGGATCTAGGGCTTAAATAACTAATGCGGTAAACAAAGAAGACGTACAGTACTTACAAATCCATGTTTATCACTAATATTGTTGGTCAATTTTAATTTGTGAAATGAAACAACTTTTTGCATCCATTGCTCACCCGTTGTGGGCGAATCTGGATGGATGTACATGCGTTTTGGCATTTCGGGATCCGCTTTGCCAGCGACCATCCAGCGACTGTTGGAGAAAATGGGATTAATATTTATTAAAATATATACATACACTCACACACACACACACACACACACACACACACTTACCTATTGTGAAATTTATAACGATAATCATCCGCCGCAACGATATCCAGTAGCAATATGTATTTAGCCTTGGCATCCAGACCCGAAACACGAAATTTCATTTGCGGAAACATTTGTCTGCAACAGAGAGAGAGAGAGGGAGAGAGAGAGTGAGAAAAGGGGGGAAGAGTTGTGGTTAGAGCGAGCTGGAGCACAAGTCATTTTGGCTGGGTAATCAAATAAAACATTAATCAGCACGGCATAAAGCCTAAACGCAGCAGCGGTTCTCAGGGAGCCCACCAGCAGGCTCCACAAAATGCCCCAGCAGATGCACACACACTGACACACACACACATGCACACAGGCACTCTCTCACAATCACAATCATCATCATCATCATTATCAGTGCCTGGCGAAAAGCAAACAAAACCCCAAACGGCGATCAGTCGAGTCGCCACGTCGTTGCCAGGTTATCAAGTGGCGCCAAGCCGCAAATTGTTTCCAGCTCCAGACTGGCGCTCGAGCGCAGTCGAGTCCGAAATTCAAATTGGCCACGGCCACGGCCACGGCTAAGGCTAAGGCTAAGACTGCGACTGCGACTGAGACCGAGGCTTGTTGATTAGCCTTAGTCCATGTTCTGGCCATGTTGGTGGCAATGCGCAAACTCGAAAATTACATGGCCAAGCCAAGGCGATCAGTGACCAGGCTAAGGCTCTAGCTCGCCTCAGCTAACCACCCAAGTAAAGGGCTGCACCCTCACACACACACATACACAGAAAGAGAACACACACACACACACAAATATGAAAATTATAAGTTTAAGTAGCAATCACTCAATCGCTGCCCTGGTCGCCGTCTTCGACTCCAGCTCTGGCTCCGGCTCTGGTCGAGCGCCAGCGCCTCATGAATCAAATTTAACGAACGTCTTGTTCATGTTCACAGATCATCATCAGCTGCGCCTGCATTTTGATAAAAAAAAAAAAAAAAAGAAAATCGAAAAAAAGCGAAAAGGCAAAAACTCCAACAAAAAGGCCCCCAAACAAGCCCGGGCCAACAAGAGAGCCTGACTCTGGGCAGAGGCTAACAAGCTGACTGATGTCTGACTGCCTAAATGACTAACAGACGAATGGACGGCTGGACAGGCAGACGAAACGGACGAAAGACAGGCCGAGGCACTAACTGAACGAACTGCAGCGATGTTTCTATTTAGAGAGCTGCAAAAGATGAAGCGGGGCCAGCAGCCAGCAGAGCCAGTGGGCAGAGCAGGAGCGCTCAAGATGCGCCAGCTGGGCATGCACGACGACAAGCATACGCTGTAAGTGCGTAAAAGTGAGCGAGGATGCGGAGAGGAAAGATTTTTATAAAGAAAGAGATATATAGAGAGAGTTATATGAAGTGAAAGATTCGAACTTGAAGGAGTTCAAGGAGTTCTTAAATCGTACCTAAAAACCTTTGTCGATTAAGCTATTTATAGATATTTATGAAAATGCCTAATTATAATATATCACATATAATATATCATATATGTAACCTCGTACTACGAAAATTACGGAACTGTATGCTTTATTGTCTTTGGGGAAAATATGCTCAAGGAAATCTATCCACATTCTATTACGTCTCCTGTTGACTATCCTCTCTTCCTCTATCGGTCAATTTCACTTCTTAAACCCTCTCTCTATTTGCTAACCTCCTACCTCTACCTCTATTTCTGTTACCCTCTATCCGACTATCAGTTACCTATCTCTTTTCCCACTTCCTTCTATCTGTTAACTCATCGCCCTTTATTAGTTATCCCCTCTCTTTCTATCTGTTATAGCATCTCAATTTATCTGTAACGTCCCTTCTCCCTTTATCTGTTATCTTCTTTCTTTCTCTCTCTCTCTCTCTCTCTCTCTCTGTCGATCTGCTCTCCCATCTCCCTCAATCTATTAGCCTCTCCCTCTATTTGTTACATTCTTTCTAGCTCTATCTGTTACCTTCTCTCCGTCTATTTAATATCCTCACTCTCTCTCTCTCTCACTCTCTCTCTCTCTGTCTATCGGTTATCCTCTCTCTCACTCTGTCTATCCGTTATCCTCTAACTCGCTCTCTCTCTCTCTCTCTGTCTGTCTGTTATCCTTTCTCTCTCTGTCTATCCGTAATCCTCTCTCCCCTTCTATCTGTTATTGCCCTCCTTCACTCTATCTGCTATCTTCTTTTTCCTTTATTTGTTATCCTCTCTTTCCCTCTATCTGTATTCCTCTCTCTCTCTTTCTCTTTCTCTTTCTCTCTCTCTCTCTCTCTCTCTCTCTCTCTATCGCTCTCTAATACCCACTCGCCATTTCCAGGGTATTCCAACGTTTCGGGCCATTCGCAATGCCAAAAAGCTGCTGCCAGCGGCCCACGTCTTGCCAGGCAGCGTCTGCCTTGAGCCGGGCTGGGCCTCGGCGCTCCCCCCACCACGTTCGACTGCCTTTTTCGACTGCAAATTATTTTTTATTTGCGAGCCAGCAGCAAACGAGACTCGCAACGAGGCTGAGACACTGGCAGAGACAGAGACAGAGATAGAGACAGCGGCAGAGCAAGAGACTTGGGACATGGCACTGGCAACTGAGGCCGTGGCACGTCTGCCTGGTTAGTTGGGCTCCTTTTGGCATCGTTTCTGTTCTGCTCCTTTTTGTCTTCTCTTCAATTTTTTTTCAGTTTTTTTTTCTGTTTTTTTGGGTTTTGGGGTTTTGTTGCTGTGCTGTTGTCTTAACTGAATAGCTCGTTAACATTATTGAGCACTTGGCGCCAGTTGTTGGCAGCTTGTTATGGCCAGAGCTGGAGCCAGAGCCAGAGCCGGAGCCAGAGCTGGAGCTGAAGCTGAAGCTGGAGCTCGAGTCGCGACGCATAGCCCCATAGCCGCAAGCGCCAACTGGAGCCAAGACGCTTGGCCCCTAAAAACAAATCGGCCCACCACACGCGCACAGCAACGCCCCACACCCTCTCGGCCCCCCTGTCCCCCTCTTGCCACTCTCTCGCGCTCACTATGTGTGTGTGTGTGTGTGTGTGTGTGTAGCTCGAGCTGTGCTCGACAACAAAACGATTTGCTCTCGTTTGTGTTTGCCAAAGCTGAGGCTGAGGCTGAGTCTGTTGGCTGTGGCTGCTGCTTCTGCCTCTTCATCTTCTTCTTCTTCTGCTTCAGCTTCTTCGTCTGCTTCTTCTTCGCCGTCTTCTTGGCTTCGTGCAAATCGTTACGTGTAAAACTTGCACCTTTTGACCGAAAGTTGTTTGTTTTGCTCAAGAGGCCACACATTATTTCTTTCTTTCCTTGTTGTTGTTGCAGCTAATTCAATTTCCTCATATGACCATCGCTCTCTCTCTCTCTCTCTCTCTCTGCTGCTGCTGCTGCTGCTGCTGCTGGCTGTTTTTATTGCAGAGCAATAACAAACAACAACGAGCTGTTAATGTGGCTTGAAAGTGTTTGGCAGGCTACTTGGGCTCGACCCAGCGCGCTGCTCGCAGCAACCCAGAGCCCATAATTAAGCCTAATTAAGCCAACGACTGTGTGCGTGTGTGTGCATGTGTGTGTGAGGTGTGAGCTGTACCGCTGCATACTCCTGGCTCACTCGCTCGCATCCCTATTGAGGTTAATGGCTAATCAATTAGCCCTGGCTTCAAGCACTTGGGCTCGGCTCCTGCTGCCTGCTGCATTCCCTGTGCCTCTACCTCTGCCTCTACCCCTGCCTCTACCTCTGCCTGCCACAGCGATTGAGTTGTAATTGGCATTTCGATTTTCCATTGACATGCTCCGGGCCCAAAGTCAATGCCAGAGCCACAGATAACGCTGATAAAATATATTTATATTGCAGACATACACACACACATGCACATACACATACACATATATATAAATGCCGCCCGAATTACGTAATGACAGAACACTAAATGCTATCAAATGGCCGGGGCAAGGTGTGCGGCATATCAAACGAATGAGCCAGCGACTCATCGTGACTTTGGTGACTCTATCCATTTTAACGGTAGCCACAAAATTTTCTATAGTTCGATTGGGCAGCTGAGGGAGGTCTAGCAAGCAGTTTCCTATCCTTTATCGAAGGAAACGAGGAAGGGAGGGGTAAAGTGAGAGAGATAAATAGACAGAGACAGAGAGAGAGAGGGAGACAGAGGGAGGTACGGAGACAGAGAGTCTTGAATTAAATGCTAAACTTTAGCTATAGCTCACTAGAGTTAGAGCCTAGCTCGACATTAGGTGGAAGAGAGAAGGCAAGAAAGAGAAAGATAGACAAAGTTTTGGATAATATTGCTAGACTTTGGCTATCACTAGATGTACAACTCATCGAGAAAGCGAAAGAGAGGAAGACAGAGGACGCTAGAGGGAGAGAGAAGCAACGGGAGAAATTGATTAGAGCTTAAAACTTCACATAAAGCTGACTCTGCAGAGCTCTGCCTTGAGCTTGACGCGATAATAATTCCCTAAACAGCTCACTGGCTAAGCTTGATACTTAAAGTTGGGTAAAGAGTAGAGCTCAAATGCGTAGAACTCTATAAGCGACCTCAAGCCTAGAATATTACTCGCTATAGATTATAGCTGAATACAATCAAAGAAAGGGTATCAAATATAGAAAGAAAATAGGGGGAAATGTAGATTCAGAACGATCTAAGCAAGAGGCTGCTTAGATAGATTGATAAACCTGCTCAGATCCTTGTGAATCCCTTTCAATAAAAATCGATGTAGCTCCCATTGACTCTATGCATCTGACCTACAAGTCTAGCTCTATATATTTCCCCTATATCATCTCAAACTTTTCTGTTGCTTTTCGATTTCCTCTTCCCTCAAGCTATCCGTTTGCTCAGTTCCTCTCTACAGAGATATTCAGCTTCTACTATACTTTGTAACTAATTTCTATCAACTATCAAATGCTTTAAGCTCTCTCAAATTCTATTTCAAATAATCATGAAATATTTAGATATGCATTTAGCATGATGCACGCCTGATTCATAATTAAAGTTTGCTTCCCACTTCATTTGGAGTTGAATTTGGTAAGCCTAATGGAAATTAGATGACACACGCACACACTCAGACTCACACACATGCCACAAGACAGTAGCCGTGTGGCACAGTGGCACATTTAAAAGGCGTTGCGCTATCAGCCGCA